TGAGAGAACTGCCCCTCAAACACCTAAAATATTAGGACAAACTGATTGGCAAGACACTTGTCAGAGCCAGTGTTGAGTTCCATTTATTTTGCAGCGGTATGCATCTGCTGGGTTTGGGTACTCTGGAAAAATCCAAAATATAATATAATGGAAAAAGCATGGGTAAAAATCCCTATTTAATCTTTGAGCCTCTTTGTTCATCTATAAATTTAGAATATGAATATCAACTTTGAAGTGTTGTTGTGAAAATTAAATAAAAATATATATGGTGGAATAGGTGCCCAAAATTGGTTAATCATGAAAAACTTACCATCATCAAGATGTAAAATAATTAGCTGTTGTTGTTGGGGCAGGGCTTGGAGTTGGGGGTTGGATATTAACATTCCAAACATGTATAAGCTTTTATCTGAAAAACCTACCAGATAAAACAAAGAGATTACCACCCCCATGTTTTTAGGGAGACAGGCAGAAAGTATGACACATAAAAGAATTAATTTGTTTAACTTTGATGGAAGGTAAACCCCTTTAGTTCTCACTTTGTTTTTAAGACTAGGAAAAGATCCAAACTTCTTAATTATGGATTATCCATCATGTTCTTTCCTTCCTCGGAAACTCTGAGATCCAAGAATGTCTGTTCTTTAAGATGTAACAAAAAATACCTGAAGAAATTTGAAAACGACAGAATGTTAAATTATAATAATAATAGATAACAGAATTATGGTTTTGTAAGAAAATATCTTATTTTTAGGAGATGCATGCTGATATATTTAGTGGTGAAGTTCAATGATGTTTGCAACTTCACATGGTTCAAAAAATTACATATATATATTTATACCTATACATAAAGCAAATATGGCAAATTGTTGTTGAATTTAGATGATGGCGATATAAGTAATGTTTAAAATAGTTAGGTCAGGCTGGGTGCAGTGGCTCACGCCTGTAATCCCAACTTTGGGAAGCCAATGAGGGAAGATCACTTAAGCAATCTCCCTCTTGCAACATAGCAAGACCTCATCTCTACAAAAAATAAAAGGATTAGCCAGGCATGGTGGCACATACCTGTGGTCCCAGCTACTTAGGAGGCTGAGGAGGAAGGATCACTTGAGCCTGGGAGTTCAAGGCTGCAGTGAGCCATGATTATACTACTGCACTCCAGCCTGGGTGACAAAGTGAAATTTTGTCTCAGAAAAGTAAAAAAAAAACAAAACAGCTAGAGTTTTTTGTTTTAGAGGCAGGGTGTTGCTCTGTCACCCAGGCTGGAGTGCCGTGGCACAATCATAGCTCACTATAACCTCCTCGAATCCTGGGCTCAAGTGGTCCTCCCACCTCAGCTTCCCGAGTAGCACTTTTTTTTTTTTTCTTTGTACAGATGGGGGTCTCACTGTGTTGCCCAGGCTGGTCTCAAACTCCTGTCCTCAAGTGATCCTCCTGCCCCAGCCTCCCAAAGCATTGGGATTATAGGCATGAACCACCACACCCAGTCCTTAAAATAGTTTATAATAAAACATGAAGGGTGGGGGGAACCAAGAGGTTGCATTTAGGGACAATCCTAGGTATAATTTTCCATCTTTTTCCTTTTCTATTCATAGTACAGATGGTTAGGGGAGAGGGTGGTAATGCAGAAAACAACTGATATTAGAGAAGTAACAATAAATTCAGTCACAAGTCAACTAACTGAAAGACAAGTTCTACACAACTTCTGAAACATCTTGTGAGAGTCCAGATGGTGAGAAGTCAGTAACTAAAATCAGTGGTTTTAAGAATTCTTTTGCCAGGGAGGAACAAAGCAGTCTGGTGGGAGTATTAGCCTTTCCAATGGGCCTATCAAGAGAATTTATCTAGGAATATTTAGGAACCACATTCTAAAGACGTTACAAAGGCAATTACAGAAGAAAATGTTATGTAGCTCCCTCTGTTCAGAACACACACACTCTTGAGAACCATCCCTCTTTATCTAATAATTAATGTTTATCTGTAAATGAACATATCAATCTTAAGGGGTGGTATAAGAAAAAAAAAGAATTATGTAGGAAATAAGTAAAAGTCTTATAAAATTTGAAGGTGTTATTAAAGGACTAAAAAGGAAATAAAAGGATTGTGATAAGAAGCAAAAAAAAAAAAAAAAGGATTTTAGATAACCAAAAAACAAATTAAAAAATTAAAATCCCCCAAGAAACCAAATTAACCCAATTTTTTAGTTAACTTACTAAACGTTTTGCAGCATACAAACTGCAAAATATCCTTTGCATCCCTTTAAGAAACACCCGCCTTTCTTTGGTATTTCTTGCAGGAAAGTATCTAAAGTTTGAAGTTCCCTCCAAAGATCCCAGCAGAAATGTTTCTAACTTCTAAGAATGTCCTAAGAGAATGAGTTAAAACCAGAAAATGTTGAAAGTCTTATTTAGAATATTAAAAACTGGAAGCAATCTGCAGGTCTAACAGTGGAAGAATGATGTATTTATAATGTGAATATATATGTGATGTCCAACAATTTCAATTCTAAGTATGAAGAGTAAGCCACAATAAAGAATGTTAAAAAATAATAATTAGTAAGTAAATATAATTATAAAACAAAGTCACAAATACAAAAAAGGGACAATTATATTAGAATGATGAAATTCGATTTCTGTTTCCTGCCTCCTCCCCTGCTGGCTCTATAATTTTTTTTTAATTCTTACAGTAGAATAGGAAAAAAAGGTAAGAATGCTATGGCTGGAAGGCCACTAGTAAACAAGCCCATATAAACGGTCCTCAAGACAAGACCCAATATGGGTATGAGACTAAATGTTATAAGGAAGGTCACTGTCCTCAGCAACTGACTCTGCTATTTTTACCCCAAACAGGAGCCCATACAAAACCACCCCATTCTTACCCTCTTTCTAATGAAAGGTCCCAAAAGGTATCCATCCAAGAAGTGCTGCCAATAATAACATTGCTAATTGTGACCAGCCTATAGACATCTTATTTGCAAAGGCTTTTAAGCCTGAACTGACATGAAATATAATACTGTGGAACTCTTTTTGTCTTATTTGTGAGTGTTTTTGACTGCAAAAGAACAGTTTATCAAATTACTTATCTTTTAAAAAACACAATCACAAAATCACATTCATATACTGCTACCATAGTGTTAAGGACTCCCAAGCCTAGACAGGCTGTTTAATTTATTAAAAAAAAAAAAAAAAAAAGTAAGGATGCTTGTTTAAACAACTCAGAAAGCATTTTCCCCCCAGAAATATTATAGTGATAAGGGAAACGATCTGCCCATCTAAGCCTCATTTCCACAATCTCCCTCTAAATTTCCTGGTCTAGAAAACCCATGGCTCTTTGGGATGCTTCATATGCTTTTCAGGAGTTTCCCTCACAGGTCTGCATTTCTATCATGGAATTTTTGTTTTTTTTTTTTAAGCTAGGAAATGTCTTACTAACAAGTTGTTTTATCACCTAAAATCTACCATTATCCATTTTTACAGCAAAGATAACACTTGATTGACTTAAATTCTAGAAGAAAAAAAATCTTGCTTTAGCAATCAAAAACTTAAAAACAAAGGGGTAAGAGGATACTGAAATGTACTAATAGTTTGTGTGTTTAAGGACCTCAAACATTAAAGGCAAGATGATAGTTTTAAAAATGTAATACCTCAAGTCTAAACATGAATGGATTTAAATTTAATCCTTTTTGTATGAAACCAAATGCCAGTCTAATACCACTGGGACTAAGTGCTAAAAAAACTAAGTAATAAAACAAATACATGAAGCATGATTACAATTTAAATTCTTTGGATTATCTTTCCCCCTCCCCTCGCCAGATGGAGTCTCGCTCTGTCGCCCAGGCTGGAATGCAGTGGCACCATCTCGGCTCACTGCAAGCTCTGCCTCCGGGTTCACACCGTTCTCCTGCCTCAGCCTCCTGAGGAGCAGCTGGGACTACAGGCACCTGACACCAGGCCTGGCTAATTTTCTGTATTTTTAGTAGAGACGGGGTTTCACCGTGTTAGCCAGGATGGTCTCAATCTCCTGACCTTGTGATCTGCCCGCCTCAGCCTCCAAAAGTCTTTGGATTATCTTCTAAGCCCCCACATTTAATATAGAAGTTAAAAACTCTTTGAAACAATACTAAGCACCTTAGTATTATTTAATACTTTTATATCTAAAAAGTTGTCCTTTCCTTTTTTTTTTTTTTTTGAGACAGGGTCTTGCTCTGGGCTCAAGCAGTTCTCCCACCTCAGCCTCCCACGCAGCTGTGACTACAGGGGTGCATCACCACGCCTGGCTAAGTTTTTTTATTTTTTGTGGCGACTAGGTCTCACCATCTTGCCCCGGGTGGGTCTAGAACTCCTGGACTCAAGCGACCCTCCCAACTCAGCTTCCCAAAATGCTGGGATTACAGGCAAGGGCCACCATACCCAGCCTAAGAATATTTTTTGGATTTTCACAGCTGTCAGGAAAGCTTTAGAAAGAAAAGATAGGGGTTAAAAGTTGAGACACAGCTTAAGACAGAAGCATTGTAAAACAGGAACAAATACTGGCTTAAACCTGATGTCTCTAACTATATTCCTCTATTTTAAGAATCTTTTAGTATCTGATAGTTTCATAAGCCTTTCATTTTCCAATATGTAACCTTTTAAGGGAGAAGACCACCCCTCATATTGTGTTATGCCCAATTTCTGCCTCCGAAGAAAGAAAAAGTAAAAACTAAAAGGCAGAAATGAAATCCACAAGCAGACAGCCAGGCGCCACACCCTGGGCCTGGTACTTAAAGATCGACCCCTGACCTAATCCGTTCTGTTATCTATAGATTACAGACATTGTATAGAAAAGCACTGTGAAAATCCCTATCCTGTTTTGTTCCTATCTAATTACCGGTGCACGCAGCCCCCAGTCATGTACCCCCTGCTTGCTCAATCGATCACGACCCTCTCACACGGACCTCCTTGGAGTTGTGAGCCCTTAAAAGGGACAAGAATTGCTCACTCTGGGAGCTCGGCTCTTGAGACAGGGGTCTTGCCCATGCCCCCGGCCGAATAAACCCCTTCCTTCTTTAACTTGGTGTCTGAGGAGTTTTGTCTGCGGCTTGTCCTCCTACACTTTATTCCCACCATGTCCCAAATAAACGAGTCCTAGGATTTCCTAGAAGGTGGACCTCAATTATTGTGTCCCTTTTATATACAAGACAAACATTCTGTTGGAACACGGAAACTTTCACTAGAATCCTTAGAATGTTCAGAAAAAATGCCCCAAAGCTCTCTTCTGGTCCATACAAGACAATCAGAATGTAACACAGTAGCAGAAGGTGTGGAACATACACTAGTCATATTTGATTCTCTCTGTCAGGGGTTCTTCTTTGTAATGGGAAATAATTTGAATCAGGATGGAAGAGTTGATAAGAAGAAAGAACAAACCAGCTAACCAGATAAACAGAAAGGTGTTCTTTCCTTGAAACTCAAGAACATAGGCAGGAGCCAGCCATAGGGCCTGCCCTATAAACCATAACATTAGGAGAACTACAGCTCTTTTCCAAGTCATTCTTACTAGTGGCATCACAAGAGGCAGTAAGCAGAGGTACCAAAGAAAGTACTGGGAGGTGCAGACTTTGTTAAAAGTCACAAAAATGGATGTATGAAGAAAACAACAAAAGACGAGGTCTCTGTAATAGGCGAAAGACACAGCTGAAAGCAAGATGAACTGTGGCAGGAATGCAGCAATTCCCAGGGAAAAACTCCACTTGCTCTCTGCAGTCAAATACAGCATGTAGAAGTATGGAGAAAAGTTGTGACGGATATCTCGCCTAGTCAGGTGATAAAAATAGGTGTGCTCCAAAAATTCCCAGCCGTACTCACAGTAAAAACCAAAGCTCAGGGCAAAAAACGTGAGTCCAGCAACCGCTACGAACAGCAGCACAGCCCGATCACACAGCCTCTTCAGGAGCTCGTACAAATGAGACTGGAAAGTATACCGGGATTGACGGAGGCTTTTGTCATTGTCGCGATCTGGAAGCAGGTGGAGAGTTATGGGAAGGATATAAGTCACCGGATATATCTTCATATGCACCGCGAAACCATAGAACACAGCTGCACACACGACGACTCTTTTCCTTATCAAGTACAGGACCATCAGGACCAGGGAGGCGACAATCGAGTCCGCATTACCTCGACTGGATACTGCCATAGGCAGGGGGTTAAGAAGCCAAAAGACACAGTAGCCACAAGCCTGGCGGCGCCCCAGCCCCTTCAGCAGCAGCAGGCGGTATAAGAGGAAAGCGGTGAGGAGGTCGCAGCTGATGAAGAGAAACTTTCCAAAGAGCTCGCTGAGGTAGATGTTGGGAGTGAGGAGCCAACCCAGCAGCGGGGTGTAACGGTACGTGGCTCTCAGGTAAGGCGAGCGCCCCTCCGTGACAAAGCGCGCGGCATCGGTGAAGACCTGGTAGTCAATGTCCGTATACCTCACGTGCAGGGTCCGGTCCTGGAAGACCCCATAGAAAACCAGGGCGACTCTGGCTAGAAAGGCCACACCAAACACGCCGGCGGGGGCCAGCTTCAAGTTAAGGAGCCATTCACCCCAGTGCTTGGTCGAGCCCATGATCTGACTGTGCGACAGCTGCTCAGCCCCAGCTCCAAACTGCCTTCGTACCTCCAACCTTCCCTTCGGTTCCTCGCAGCAGGTGGCCGCCGCATCTCCCACCCGCTAGGCCGCCAACCGAAACAACTGCGGACTACCACTTCCGGCATGAAGCCCCGCCCCCGTACTGCTACCTGTCTCCAGCCCCGCGCGGGATTCTCAGCCGCCGGAGCCAAACACTTGCCTTCCTCTGGATAGGCGGTCTCGCTTCCGCATCTTCTTCCGGCGGAGGCGGGATTTCCGGTCCCTGGGCGGAGAGACGTCCGCTTGCCGGGAAATCCGGCACTGGATTGAGGATTTTATGGAGCGGAGTGAGATTTCTTCGTAAGTGACAACCCCCAGCCCCACCGCCCTTATCCCGCGCCCCGTTTCCAGTCCTCAGAGGAAAACCCTCCGACGCGTAGCGAGCTGCGGGCTGCGCGCTACATCCCTCAGTCCTGGGCTGGAGACCCGAGAGTGAAAAATGTAGGAGTGAAAGGAAGATAAGCCTTCTCATGCGTTACTCCACGAGCTCGCCGGTATTCACCGGGGATTTGTGGGGCCCCGGACAGGACAGGATGAGTTGAAGGGGGCTGAGTGTGTATGTCCCATGCAATATTGGAGGCATACTTATATTTTAAAATTCTTAGTTGGTAATCAGAGATTTAGATTTAAGTGGGCAGTTTGTATTTTATCCGGCAACCCTAAGTGAAGGTGATGGGAAAGAAGACAGGAAAGCGTCACAAAATTCCTAAACTTGTCAGCCCCTTATGCCTCAGTACCTTTGTGTTTGGTATTTCTTCTGTCAAAGTTGCCATCCCCTCCCCAATCACTCTGGCAAACACCTACTCAACCCTTCAGGCCTCAGTGCAAGTGTCAGCTCCCAGCTCCCACTCACTTCCTCATCACTCAGAATGAATGACTTCGATGCCAGTCCCCTCCCCTGTCGGAGGATTGGTGGACTGGGGCAGACGGGATCTAAGCTCCAGAAAATCACTCACACGGAAGATCCTGCCATGCTACTGAAAGTTCTCACAGTGCTCCAGAACTCCCTGGTCATTCCTTTGTTACAGCATTTGTCACACAGCTTTGTAATAACTGTTTTTGTTTGTTTTGCTCTTCTAGTTTTCCATCAGGACACTTTGAATTCCTCGATATCAGAGATTATCTTGTTCTTTTCTCCACCTCAACATCTAACACAGTACTAGTAGCCATTCAGTAAAGTTGAATTGATTTTAGAGGTTCCTCCTACCAGAATATTTCTAGAGTGGCATCTTTGGATTGCTCCCAACTCCCAATTATTTTCCCTTTTAAATATCCTTTATGTATGTCAAGGTCCGCAGCTCCCGCCACCCCACTCCAACCCAGCTTCCATGAATTTTTCACCAAGGACTGTAACCCATTAGCTCTTCCCTTTTTGTGATTACTTAGTGTACTTACATAGTCCACGTTGTAGAATTTGATACTTTATTTTAGATTGTATTCATAGCCCTCACAAGAGATTGTAGGGTTCTTGGGGTTAGAAATTATATCTTATCCTTAATTTTTTCAATTATTTGTAATTTATTGTAGTCTTAGGCACATGGTAAATGTTTGGTAAATACTGACTAGTTGGATTTTACAGAATGAGCCTGCTTCCTAGGAGAAGTCTTCTAGACTAGAATAAGAAAAGGAGGTGACTTCATCCAGTCTGAACATGCAGCTCCCAGGACTACCTGCTGCTCATCCATCCTACATTTCACATTTATCCTTTGGAGATGAACTGTGTTAATCTTATATATTCCATATTCATCTTGCGATATCTCTATGTCCTTTTATATGCCTTGGCATAATTACATGCCTTAGATTAATAATTCTCACCATTTTTTTGCAGTATATTAGCCATATATATAGTGACAGCACATCACCACTCATATAATGATGATGATGATTTATAAATAGCTGGATTTGTTGAGGACTCATTTGCAATGTACCAGGCATTATGCTAAATACTTTTTATGTAAGGTAGATAGTCCCACTTTTACAAATGAAGAAAACCAAGGCTTATGGAGATTAAGTAATTTTCCTAAGTCACATAGCTAACTAGTGGCACAGCTAGAACTCAAAACCCAGTCTGTCTGACCTAGAATATCTTAATCATTATGTGGCTGACTTGCCAATAAAATGTGGATCACAAATTCTAATTTTCCTGTGTTTTCTCTTATTGATCTCTTATCTGGATATTCTGGATATTCTCTCTCACTGTGACTCTTTCTACCTCTGATTTATTCTTTTCTTCTGCAAATAATGGATAAGTGAGGCTTAGTTCCCTAAGATAGAAAATATGGGAGGTAGGTATCTGAGGATTAACTAAGTAAGGGTTCTTGTGGCTGGATTGGTTTCAGTAGTATGGCAGAAAGGTCTCAGTCAATCTGTCCCTACATGGCTGTCCTAGTAGAGAGATGGGAGGCACCAAATTTAGGCAGATAAGAAAACAACTAATAAAAAATAATAATAATAATAATAAAAACTAAGCATGTCACTGAAGCCAAAGGATTGAGATGTAGATAGTTGTGGGAATAAAGAAGAGACTGGAGTCTGTAAAACAAATTGGACAGAGAGGTCCAACTTTAGTTACTATTTGTGGGTGGAAGAGATACATCACAGGGTCTGAGGACCCCATATTGAACTTTTTGCATTGGGTTTAGGGATTGTATCTTCTCACCTCTTTCTGAAAGAGTTACATTTTTTCAAATGCTCAACTGTTCATTACCTCTTGGACTGTTACTTACAATCCTTCTTAATTCCCCCTTTCACTATCTGCTCCTAGATTTCTATCCTTTTAGAGCCAGTGACTAAGGAAAGCACAAACAAGGATCACTCAACTTTAGTTTCCCTAGCAGGAACCTTGTCCTTGTTCACTAGGATGTATAGACTCTCATTACCCTTCCATATCCTCTATTCATCTTTTTTGCCCTGTTCTGTGTTCCGGGAGGTTAGGCTGTATGGGTAGCATCACTCAATCTCCCTTGTTCTCTGGCTTCCCATTAGAATAGACCAGTGGAAGGCACTAGCAGATCTTTGACAGTGTCTGGAGTTCCTCACCTAAAGTCATGGCTCTCGTTGAAGCTATAGCTCTTTCCTTTGGGTAAAGTCTCATGGTTCCAGTAACTAACTGTCCTTTTAGGTTTAAGGCTGGTAAAGGCTTCCTGCTTTGCGAGTGCCTGGGCACATCACCATATCTTGTTGATTTGTTAAACTTGCCCATACCTTTGCAAATAATTTCTTCATTAAAACATGTCCACTAACCCTTTGAGTGTACCATCTGTTTCCTGCTAGAACCTTGACTACTTCAATCACTTTCTTTTTCACTAGATTTTGTTCATATGTCTTGCTTTGTCATTTCTTTGGAATATATTTCTAATTCTTTCCATGCCCAGCATCCTGCACCTTAGTTCAGACCTTCAACAACTCAAATAATACATAGCGAACACCTATACTATACTATACTATACTATACTATACTATACTATACTATACCAGGATCTGTGGCAATCGTCTTTCCCTCAAGCTTTAAAAATCTCTTAACTGATTTAATGTCTTATATCTCAGTTCTACTGCCAGATTGATATTAATTAATAGTACTTCACTTAGATTCTTTCCTCTGTCAGCCGTCTTCAGTGGTTCCTGATGCCTAAAGAAAAAAAATAATGAACCTTTAGCCTGACATTCAGTCCCCCCACTTTCTGACTTTACCTTACCTTTCCATCCTATTCGCCTGTAAAACCTCTGTTTTAGGTTTACTGTTCCCAAAATATGCCTTGTGCTTTCTTCTCATGATACTTTGTTCATGCTGTACTTCCTACAAAGAGACCTGTTTCTCTTTACTTACTTAAATGCTATTTGGTTTTTAAATGTTGAACCCAAGCCTCAACTCCTCTGTAAGCTCTTCCTAGACCTTAACAGGTGAAATAGTTTCTCCCTTCTCAAAACAGTGATGTTTATTGTCTGTTCTATTTTTAACAGTAATTATGTCATGCTCGTTATCTAACTGTTTTATAGTAATTAACAAGATATACAAGCTCCACTGCATACTTTAGACTAGTTCTTTCTCTCTTCTCTTTCTTTCCCTCCTGCTCATTTATCAAATGTCATACATGTCAGGCACTATATGAGGTGCTGGGCTGTACTCATGACCAAACACTTGACATGAATCCCATTCACATGACACTTGAAGTTTAGTAAGCTACACAGACATTAGTCAAATAAATTGACAAGTAATATACAAATGCAGCTGTGGTAAGTGCTCTAGCTTTTAAGGGGATTTATTTGATCTCAGATGGGCATAGTGTAAGAGTTAAGAAGGTTGGCCAGGCGCAGTGGCTCATGCCTGCAATTCCAGCACTTTGGGAGGCCGAGGTAGGTGAATCACCTGAGGTCAGGAGCTGGAGACCAGCCTTACCAATATGGTGAAACCCTGTCTCTACTAAAATTACAAAAATTAGCCATGCGTGTTGGCATGTGCCTGGAGTCCCAGCTACTCAGGAGGCTGAGGCAGGAGAGTCGCTTGAACCCAAGGGCGGAGGTTGCAGTAAGCTGAGATCGCGCCACTGCACTCTCTCCAGCCTGGGCGACAGAGCAAGACTCCATCTCAAAAAAAAAAAAAAAAAAAAAGAGAGAGAGTTGGAAGCAGTGGGGAGAATTCCACAGAAGGAATAGCAGGTGGAAAGCACCATGATTGTACATCCCTTGATTCATGCATCATGTCTTGTATTTCTTTGTTAGCTGAATGATACCTTCCACATAATAGGGACTCAGCATTTGCTGATTTTTCTTGAATCTTAATGTATTCTAACCAAACCTGTTAGATTGATACCTTCCCTTGCCTAGTTCCTGTTCCTGTGAAATATTTCCCACAGAGATCTCACTCTTTTTGGAACATTCTGCTAATGTTATATCTGGCATTAGTACATGGTACCTGCTATATTGCCTTTCATTATATTTGTTATATGCTACTTGTTTTATTTCTGTTTCCTTACAAGTTTGTAGGTTTCTTCAACCTTTTAGGCCTTTTAGGAACTATACATGTCCTACATCTTAAATATCTCATATGTCTTAGGATTCATTCCTAGTATTTCCTAAATGTTGTGCTTAAGTATTTATTGATCATGATAAGAGACCCAATTTTCTCCTTCCTCCTCTCTCTCTCCTTCCACTTCTGGGGAATAAGAGTCAGTGACTGTAGGGTCTTTTGCCTCTCATCAGAGAAAATTCAGGGCTGGATGTTAACAACCAGATCTTTCTCAGGCTACTGACAGACAAAGATAGAAGAGAAATCCATTTCTTTGAGATTTGGGGGAAGAAATGCCTGGTGATTAAAGGAATAAGCTTACAAAGAACCTTGAGGATATATAAGGAAAACTGGCAACAAGACTACATGGTAGCATAGAAGGGAAATTGGGCTTGTGATCACTGGCCAAAAGGGACAATGCCCAGGATCCAAAGCAACTTGACTTTTATGGATTAAGCTGAGCCAATTTTCATACGCTTGGGTCTTAATGTTTTTTCAGTATTGTCCCATGAAAACCAAATGTGAAAGGAACTCGCTAAAGCATGAGAGAAAAATTAAACAGAAGGGGCTTGGCCATGAAATCAGAAGTTCTTCCAGCACAGCCTAATTCAATCCTCCATGCTCATGGGTAGGCCTATGAGTTCAGACCTTGACAGTGTTGGTTTAGATTTCTAAAAGAAGCTAGAGTGACAACCAAAGAGTCATCCATTTTATTTGGTAGCTTATTCTTAACAGACAAAAACAAAACAAATCTTACACACCTTTTTTTCCTAGATAAATTTGACCTGGTTTAGTCTTTAGTGCAATGAATAGAAGAACCATGCCTAAATACTTCTGCGTCAGTAGAGTTGGCCATTACTGAGCCGGGAGGCCCATGCTAACTTTCCAGCAAAGGTAGTGTGTTACTGTACAAGTGAACTAGGTTAGCTAGCAAGAGTAAAGGACCAGGGCAGCAGCCGTGGGGAGGGCACAGTGTCCGGACTTGTAGCAATAGTATAACTGGCTTCCTTTATCTGCTCAGACCTTATAGGGAAACTCCTGGATGATTTTATTAGGCTGACAGGGGTTGGGGGAATAATGGGGTGAAGCACATTGCAGAGGTTTTGGAAGCTTCTCATGGGAACTTCACCATCCCTTAGAGCAGCTGGTAACCCTACTCGTTTTCATTCAGAAGCATCAAAACCAAAGCATCACCCTCCATGCCCAAATTCCAGGATTGGAACTCTTCTGGAATCCATGGCTTTCTCTTTGGGCTGCTTGCAGCTACACAAAAGGCTGGGCCTCGACCTTGGGAGATCTTGGGCCCAACAGCTATTAGTCCTGGCATTTGGATTCCAGGGTTGAGGCTTCCCATTAGTGCCTCCCATACACCAAGGTGTTCAGCTCCTGAGTTGAATTTCAGGGGCTAGAACAATAGCAGCTCCCACCCCTGTGGAAGACAGGGAAATACAGTGTACTTCATGAAAGGGAAACAAAAGGGTGCTTTATTTTATTTTTTTATTTTATTTTATTTTATTTATTTTAAAAAGGCTCTACAGTGGCAGGACGCTGCTGCGGATGGGGGCACAACAGTGTAAGTGGTAGATTTTCCAAGATTTCCCCTCCCTATTGTCCTCCGAGTTCCTCTCTTCCTGGTCCTATCAGTAGCAGAAGATTCAACAAAAGCCTTCATGAATGCCTCTTTATTTCTGAAAAGGAACTTCTACCCCTCCCTTTCCCATTTCCAGACTTGAAATCCTTCATCAGCTATCTCACTTCCATGTTGAAACCTGGACCACTGATTGTAAGTCTAAAAATCTGGGTGTCCTACCCCATAACCAGGCCAAGATATCTGCCCCCAATGCTAAAGTCTCTGAATATTTCCCTTCTGTACATTCAATAGATTTGAGCATATATACATCTATATACATCTTTCTATATATATATTATCTCTGTTTCTTTCTTCTTAGATAAACCTTTCATATGTGTCATATCCTAATTTCCCAAGCCTCCCCACTTCTTATTTGCGAGCCTAAGCAAGACTCAAGAGTTTCATTGATTTCACTAGGTCCCTCAGCATCATTTTTTTCTCATCTTCACACCCCAGATATCTTCCCCCATCAGTTGTTTTGCCCGTCTTCTGAAATCTCCCCTTTTTACACCTGTGCCTACTACTGTCCTGATATTCCAAGTCCACAGTTGGTATGGGGGCCCATTTCTCACCAGACCTGGCTGCTTCTGAAACTCGGCCTATTGCCTAAAAGAGGATTTCAGTCTTTAGACAGACTATAGTCTAAAGAATGATTTAGAGTTAAGGTTGGGGGTAGTTGTTCCCTGTGGGGGGCTTATGGGAGAAGATGCCAGATTGCATTAATAGGACGGTGTGATTTAAAGTGCAACTTAAAGCAAAGCCTGGGATGATAATGGAGG